CCTAAAATTCTATGATTCTATGACTTAAAGGACTTAGAGATTAATTTTGTAAACACTTCAGAGAAGTGGCTAAGCTTCTTCAAAATATCTCACTTTCCATGAAATTTTAATTCTCAGATTCTGAATTGGCATTTTTTTACCTTGATGTCTCTTTATTCCTTCTTACAATGGGAAAAACTGCCACTACTTCACAACTCAAGACAGTTCTGAAGACATACCTATTAGTGTATAAGTTACTGAGAAAGGTCTGAGAAACAGAAGGATTGTGCCTTTAGAAGAGAATTGTGTGCAATAAATAGAATGTATGACACTAAACAATTAGGGTAAGAGAAAGATGTATGCCCAGGTAAGTATTTACATGTGTATAAGTTGGACAGGACTTAGTAACTACAGAAAGCTTGAATTAAGGATACTTGGGCACATTTCCTTGTGCCCTTTGCAAAGTTTCTGAATGTTGAACTGTGGAATCATAATGTATTTTCAACACTGGGTTTTTTGTGGTGTACATATCTTAAAAAAAAATTATTAGAGAGCACTTACCTCAGTTTACTTACTGCATAACACAGCTGGAAATGTTCATGACTTTGGCCCTGTAACTGGGACTGTTACATCTCAAAGAAATAATAGACTATCTGACTTTTCTAACAGAGATTCTATGACAGGAGTAAGTTAATCTAAAGCACTGTAAATATGCAAGAAATTTCTGTACAGGAAGCTTGATACATACTATGCTGTAAATAAAGGAATATTTGTTCAGTAGTAAAGAAAGAAAAGGAGAGATGAGAAGACCCATGGTGTGAAGGACAATGAAAAGACCAAGAGCTCAGCCCTTCAAATTGTGGTGTGGTGTTTCGTTGAAGAGCATCTGTTTCCCAGTGGCTGAGTTTCTCTTGGGAAAAGGGCATCAGCATCAACCCACTGCCTTGGCTTTATCAGTTCTGTAGTCCGTTTGATAAACTCTGATCAAGTGACTAGTACTCACATTATTATATATAAGCTGCAGGTTGCTGAGAACAGTCTGCATTTCATTCTACTTGAATCTCTGCTGGCTCCCAAGCAAGAACATAAACTGATGACATCTCCTGGAAGGTTTAAAAACCTAACAAACCACTTATCCAAGAGGTAAAAGGACTAGAAATGGGAAAATATTACAACCAAGTGGTAAGTATTACCTTCAGAAATGAGCTCCCAAACACAGCAGGAACATCAGACATGTACATTCATGGATTAAGCAAAGATTCTAAGCATAGCAATCTTTGTACAAAGGAAACTGATTTTTTTAATATGGTCACTCAGTTGATGAAAAACTGGTGAAAAACTAAACAGGCATAGAAGTAAAAAAGCTATACACTAACATCACAATATATTTTATAATGACAAAATTATCATCTCTTTCCTCCCTATAGATAAATTTATGCACTTTTCCTACACTGCAGTATCATTCTCTGTAAGTAAAGAAATTAAAGAAAGGTATGGGTTCATTATACTCCTCTGAAAATCATGTTTTATCAGAACATAGACTACATAGGTTACAAGGTCATCTAGTCTAACAACCTACTGAAAGCAGGGCCAACTTGCATCAGATTGCTTGGGGCTATTTGATTTATCAGTATCTGCAAGAATGGGTATCTTACCACCCCTTTGGGCATCTGTCTAGTGTACAGCTGCCTTCACTGTGAAAAAATAGTTAACAGAGAACTGGAATTTCCTTCCTTGCATGATACCTTTACAATACTTCTAGGACTTGTAAATACCAAGTCAAATTATTCAGATTATTTGAATCGCTGTCCTTATATAATCTTTGCCTATTATGACTTTTTTCAAAGAATCTCACAGAAGCTTGGAGCCAAAGCTACTGTGTTTGTCTCTATATGGATACAAGACAAAAATCACTCTGTTTAGCAATGACAGAATAGCTACCATGATGTTCTCCATGGTGAGCTGAGGAACCGATGTGTATCAAAAGTACTGCCAGATAGGAACCAAGCTGTAACTCATCTTATTCAACTTTTGACATCTAATAATTTGATGTTTAGTTTAGGTTATTAGTGTAGATTCCATCCAGAGGCAAAAGGCACAGACAAGACATGTCGAGGTTACTTCAAGCTATTTACTTTCAGCAGTTAGAGAAGGTGGTCTGATAACTGTAGCCAATACTATGAAATGTAGCACAATCTGTCTTAAAAATTATGATTTGTTTTGACAGATACTGTTATACAATGGCTCTGTTAATTCTCTATCTTCCTGTTACTGTCATCTGCAGTAAATTTGCAGACAACACAAAGTTGGGTGGGAGTGTCGATCTGCCTGAGGGTAGGAAAGCTCTACAGAGAGATGTGGACAGACTCGATCAATAGGCTAAAGACAACTGCATGAGGGTCAATAAGGCTCAGTGCTGGTTCTGCACTTGGGTCACAGCAACCCCATGCAGCACTACAGGCTGGGGAAGGAGTGGCTCAAGTGTTGCTTGCCAGAAAGAGACATGAGAGTGCTGGTGGACAGCAAGTCAATAGGAGCCAACAGTGGGCACAGGTGGCCAGGAAGGCCAACAGCATCTTGGCCTATATAAAGAACGGTGTAGCCAGTTGGACTAGGGAAATGATCATTCCCCTGTACTTGGCACTGGGGAGGTCACACCTCAGTGCTGTGTTCAGTTTTGGGCCCCTCACTTTAGAAAGGACATTGAGGCACTGGAGTGAGTTCAGCCAAGGGCAATGAGGACAGAAAAGGGCTAGAAAACATGTTGTATGAGGAAGGGCTGAGGGAATTGGGTTTGTTTAGCCTTGAGAAGAGGCTCAGGGCTGACGTCATGATCCTCTCCAACTCCCTAACAGAGGGTTGTGGAGAGGTGGGGAATGTCTGTCCTGCCATGGCTTCAGGGAGAGGACTAGAGGGAATGGCCTTGAGCTGAGGCAGGGGACAGTCCTATTAGATACCAGAAAACTTTATTTCACTGCTAGGATGTTGCCCAGGAAGGTGGTGGAGTCATCCTGGAGGTGTTTAAGAGGTCTTGATCTGGCGCTGGGTGATATGGTTTGGAGGCGACAGTGGTAGTGTCAGGTTGACAGTTGGATTTGAAGATCTTAAAGGTCTCTTCCAACCCTGATGATTCTGTTATTCTATTTTATAGATTTATTATCGACTTGAGAAAATCGGGAGATTTGATACTTGAGAAAATTGGGAGGCTTTATTAAGCAATTATAACCCCCTTAGTCTTACTTTCATAATAAAAATATCCCTGGCTTCAGTTGTATCCTGTAGCTAGATGTGAAAAACATACTGCAGGATCTTTCAGCACGACAGGAAGTACATAAGTTTCATTACAATACCTTCATTACAGTTCATTACAGAAGCCTGTCTTGTCTTTACCTAGTATATTCTGCTGAAATATTAATTGGGAAACAGTAGTTACAATCAGCACAGATACAGCCCCAATCAGTGTGTGCCATTACTGAGCAATGAGGTTACTAAGCAAATTATTCAGTAAATTATCTGCATTTCTACATCTTCCTTTCAGTAGGTGGCTAATCAAATATGAAATCATTAGAGAGATGCATCTTCACTGAAGCAAGGACATCTCCTTTGTCTGCAAAAAATACTCTATGAGGTAGATTTCAGTTCCAAATAAGGTTCCTAGTTTTAGAAAGGTAGGCAGCTTTTTAACATATTTATCTATCTTTTGCAATAAAATGGCATTGCTAGATAAATAACAATAGGGATAGTAAGGGATCAGTTTAGCACCAAGACCATGCCCTATTGCTCCACCAAGCACTTGCCCTCAAGTATCACACCCAACAAATCCCTCTAATAAAATTACAAAGTTTGCCCACTGGTCTGACTAACAACAGCCAAACCTTCAGGGACTACTCTTTTTAAAAATAAATTTGGACTTCTAAACTGCAAGGACATAAGTGATACATGCCTGAAATGACACTGTTTTGCAACAATGATGGTAAACAGAAATACAACTCCTTCTTTAGTAGCTGAAAACCTATATGTAGGTATAGTTCATTTTACAGTTTGGTGCTTTTTATGGTTTAATCTTGGCCAGAAATTAGGCCTTACAGAGCTGCTCACTCACTCATGGGTTGAGGTACAGATGTGTAATGATGACTTGAGAAGACGAATGCCATCACTTTGAATGCCCTCCCCTTCCTTCACCTTCCCCCTCTTTATATGCTGAGCACAATGCCATATAGTGTGGGATGTGCCTGTGGTCAGCTGGGGTCAGCTGTCGTGGCTGTGTCCCCTCCCAACTCCCTGTGCACCCCCAGCCTTCTCACAGGTGGGGTGGGGTGAGGAGCAGAAACAGCCTTGACCCTGTGCGAGCTCTGCTCAGCAAGAGTTAAAACATCCCTGTATTATCAACCCTGTTTCCAGCACAAATCTAAAACCCACTCCCATGTCAGCTACTGTGAAGAATATTCTACCCCAGCCAAAACCAGCAGAGTGCTTTGTCATGAGTACCCAGGCATGCCCGAAAAGATTGTTCTTTTCATAAAATCAGCATCTGTATCCTTGTGCAATGCAATACCTTTTCGATGAAATTGCAGTGATCCTAGAAGACATATGGACTTCAGCATTTCTGTGGTGTACATTTCTATGCAGCATTGTAACTGAATGTATAGCCTACAGATTTCAGGATGAATTTCACCATCTTCTGGGCTGCAGTAAAAGAGAAAAATTTAGTTAGGAACGGGACTTTCCTGTTTTTATTTCTCTGATAGCTAAACTTAAGAACTATGTGATACATATTTAGGTAATATATGGCCCCTCAGAGGCTTTTATTATCCTGAATTGTTCTACCTTTTAGCATAGAGATGAGATTTTTTTTATCCCTTTGTATCACATATTCTTACATTTTCATTCAACATTTTCCCAAGTTCAGAACCATTGAATTACTGTAGTAGTTATGGATACAGCATATCCCCCCCTCAAATTGTCTGCATCAAATTCTGTTGCAGCCCTTTTCTCCATGAGCACACATACAGTAATTTCCTTTGAGCTTTCCTTACCAATACAGGGACCAATACAAAAAGCTTTAAGAGTGTAGAATTCCATTTGACTTCCATATTTAGGATCCAGGTCCAATATTTAGCTCTTCAAACTTACTGTTTATTTCATGTAATACCTAAGTCCTGGAGCCCCACCAATATACACACAAGCCCATTCAGTTTCTCCTTGAGTTTTCTAGATGCCTACACCTTTTTTTTTTTCAAGCAGGGTTTCTCCTATAGTGAAGCCACTAATGTTTGCCTATTCCACCTGAAAGGCATTGCCCCATACATGTTCTTGTGCAAAGTCAAACCAACAAAAAGTTAAAGCCATGACAGATAACAGCAAAGACCTTATTCTGCTCAGTGATGAGAGATCTTTCTGAAAGGGAGATAGAGTTCTACTCCACCCTCTCATGCAAGTCAAGCTGAATCTGTCTAGCTCTTCTGAAAGCTATTTAACCACAAGTCTCTCACTAAGAGGAGTAGTCACTACATTGTGACAAGATAATTTCCTTGTAGCAGATTTAGATAAAACTGGATTATGGTTGTCCTATTTTTCTCTGCTCTATTTTGGATGTTAGAAATCCTCAGAGCTTTTAGAAGTCATGGCTGTTACAAGAACTTTGTTTGCAATGTTCATTTACAATTTACAATGCTCCTTCCTAGCTGTCACTGGAAAAAAGTGACAAAATTTCAGGATTTTCACACACATGTAAGAAACCAGCATTTTTCTCATACAGTTATTACATTTCTAAGAAGGAAAAATGGTGAAAACCTTTCTTTAAAACTGTTTTGCTCTTAGGGACAGAATTTTTAATTGTGCAGACTAAGAAGGCAGCAATTATACATGAGGTTTAGTTTATAAGCCAATTCAAATTTATCAGTGTCTTCCTATTTACCAATGACCGAGAAGAGTATTCAAAAGCACAGTAACAGCTATTTTAATTGACTTTTTTTTCTATTGTAAATCTAAGGTGTTTCTCTTGCAAACTATTTTTGTGAATAGCATAAAAATCAGAACTGGAAACATCAATGATATATTTATGTACTAACCCATTCTTGTTTTTTCAAGAATATGGAGCATCTGTAACTGGGCTGTGGGCAAAACACTTCTCACGTTTTGCAAATCCAGAGTAACAGCAGTGACAGCCAAGAAAAATATTTTTAATTATACAAGCTTTATACAATGAGAATTATTTCCAGGCCACTACCCTCACTGATTGACTCAAACTATTTAATCAGTGTTTAATTGCAATAATGACCAAAAGAATTCCATCAGCTTGTAACCAAACAATTTTCTCCCACGCATGTATATAGGCCTCATTTTCATCTCTGAAAGCCTCATGCTCTGATGTGAATGCACATAAAGATTTCTTTCATAATCCATGAATTCTGTGTAGTGGCTTTAAAGTTTCTCCTTAAACGGTTATCCATTTCACTTCTTGGTATTTTTTTATTTCTGCATGTTCAGCGTCATGCCACGAGAAATGTTGCATGCAGGACTAGTACAGACATAATTTTCAGAATATTGATTATGTTATGTTTGCTATTAGCTAATATTAAATAATAGTCTTTATTTACAAAGAAAGGTTCGTGCAAACTTTCAATATTACACCCCCTGCCAAGTCACCAACTGTTTCAATTAGTCCAGCCAATTTCTTTATGAAGATATTCAAGAGACATCTCAAATAACACAATGTTATCCAATACTGTGCTAAAGTTTAGCTGTTTCATAGCTTATGTGCAGCTGGACATATAAGAGCTAGCACAGCACTGAGCACCTGCCCATGAGACAAAGACCAGCAAGCACCTCATCGCTGTCTTTCAAGCACAGCTATGATTATGCTTACTTCCCACACCCATTGTGGAATAGAAGTTTTTGTGCTTCTCCGCTTCCACTCAGGTAAAATAAAGAGGTACTGATAGCTTTTAAAGGATTTGGATACACAGGTTGTGCCTTCTTGGGGATACTTCTTCTGACAGGGGAGCACTGCTGCTTTTTGTAAGATGAATGCAATGAATGGCCCATGTAGGAAGCGACCAAAGATTGAATGCACGGAATTCTATGGCTCTGACAAACCCTCCTGACTTGCCAGTGGTGCAGCAAGACACATGTGTTCCTATGCATGAGGAAGAGTGAATGGTGAGATGGGTGCACATGTGCCTATGGAAATACTTTGCATGTAGGGTGAAGTCATATATGTCCACCTAAGTTGGCATATTGCCTAACTACTGCCAGGCTTAACTCCTGCCTAACCTTCACATGTAAACAGTGGGCTTTGATTTTCAAATAGAACTAAGAGAATATGTTCCTTCCTTCAAAGATTTTTTGGTTTTGTTTTTAATACTTAGAAATTCTGTACAAAAGACAGTCGGATGGTTAGTTACTACCAACAATGACACGTCCTGTCATGAGGTCTGTGGGATTACTTATTTGACCTAGAAACACTTGCTGGTGTGTAGGAAAAACAAGCAGATCACTTGGCTCTGATTTTAGTTTTTCCTCTCTCTGCTAAATTATGCTGATAGTTATATATTAAATACTTTCAAATATCCTGTCTCTCCCTTAATAGGAATTTTTGTAGTTGTCACATGAGTACCATACCACCAGGGTGTCTTAGGAGGCAGAAGTCCTTACTCAAAAACATGAACACTACTCAGCTGATGGGAAATTTGTACTACTTCTGCAGTTTGAGAGCTCTAATATCTGCATGTATTACTAGTAGTTACAAAACCGAAAATGCTGGTTTATTCCTTTATATAACAGTAGCTTAAGTCAGGCAGTTTATCAAGCTGCTATGAAAAATATATTTTTTTAAAAAAAATCTATAGCATCACATTCTCCTACTTTAACCATTGGAAGAATCAATGTGTTTCTTTCCATAAAGTCCTGCTCTTTAGGAATCAGGTCCTCTTGTTCAACTGAATATGTTTATAAAGCACTGACAAGCAGCAGGATTTATTTCCTTTGTAGTTTCCTAAGCTGATATTTAAAATAAAACCTTCAGAGGGAGCTCTTACACCAACCATAGTACCCGATATCCTCAAGAAAGGTGAATGCAGCTATTTGGATAATGATTTTAAAAGACAAGAATAAACGTGATTAAAATGCTCCTCCTTAAATGCAAAGTTAAAGAGTGAAAAATCCATTAAAACAAATTACTCCCCCCCGCCAAAATAGCTGACAGATAATTCTATTGTACTCACAAAATGTTGGTTAGAATGGAGAAACACCTTCAGGCTTTCCTGAATTCCCATAGGTGTTCAGCATTCATAGTTCCCTTGAAATTAGTGAAACTTTAGGATACTAAAAGCAAAAGATTATTACGGTCTAATTCTGAATTTAGCTTAAAAATATTAGTCACACATTTACAGCAGAGCAGCATTTTACCTTTTCTACCAACAACATTAAAAGACATACTGATGTATTATCTCTGATTAAAAGAGCAGCTAAGTGATCTAAAGGGTTTGATACACTTAGTAAAAGTATTGTTCTGACAAATTCTATGCTTAACTCTAAGGAAAAGTATTAATAGTTCTAAAATATTATGAGCTGGAAGAACTACCCAGACATATAGAGAAGACTGTTTGTCTTCTAAAGCTAAAGAAAAAATAAACCTTTGCTGAGCCAGAAGTGAAAATTAATTAATCAAATTCTGCCTTATGTTCCGTATATGTACTTCCCATGACAAAGAATGCAACTTGGCTTGTTAAGCTCCAGAAAATCGCTGTCCACAAGTACTACCCTATTTTAATCCAGTATCAGAAACACTGCAGTTCAGAACTACATAGCAGCTACAAAGATATCTGGAAACAAGACCTACCTCAGACATATGGTACTTCTGTTGGAATGAAAAATGTGACAAATACTGCAGAGGAGATACACTTAATCCCCTTAGATACTGAGTGTAAGAGGCCCCTCTGATTCTGGCTCAAGTGCAACAGCCTACTAAACCTGCCTCTGCTTTTGTATCTTAAACATTGTTTATTTCTGTATCATTTAACCATTTATCTTTGAAGACAACAAAAGACTCACTGATTCATTTTGAATATAGGTAGAAAAGTCATCCAGCAACAGTGTTCTTTTCTAAACAATTTTTGAGAAAACATTCTCTGTGTTCCTCCCATCTGCTGGGTTTGTTGTTTTTTAAAGTACACAGACTGCTGTCAGCTTCATTGAAATGTTGTTATTGTGTTCTCTACTAATGCAATACTGTCATACAACTGCTATACAACACCTCAGTCCAACCAGGAGAAAAGCAGGGCTTGTTCTTTCCAGTAGACCCATAAATGATTGCAAAGTTGTTTTTATTGAATCAGATTGTTGTTTTGAAGCAGTTACAACAGCACTCTTAATAACAGAAGATATGTGATCAGATTTTGTTTAGTTAAACCAGTGTAAATCTCCAATAACTCTGGTGAGGCTGATGGAGTCAATCTGAGCATATGATACAACAAGCAGAACAAAACCACAACGCAGTGACTCATGTTGCAGAGACACTGCCAACTCCCAGGCTAATGGTAGCTGAGGTATTTCCATGCTAGAACAACTTAGATACAACCATAAGAGTAGAAAATTAAAATTTCTTATCCATACGATAAAATCTCACTGAATTCCACAGAAGTTATCTGATAAACCAAGGGCCATGTATAGTCTAGAAACTACAG